AGCACCCCGCTTCACAAAGGAGATTGGTTTTTCTTCTTTTTTTCCTGACGATCCTGAGTATCCTCCTTGCGACTAGTGACATGAAACTAAGACTGTGTGCGTGAGGGGCATGGCCATGCTAGCAAAGGGTGGTCCAGCATTGACTGGCACAAGTGTGTGTGTGTGTGTGGCTGAGAGTTGTCTCAGTTGCCCAGCAGTCGGCAGCCGTGGCCTGAAGGAAGTCTTGGGCAGGGTTTGTTCCCCTCAATGCATGCTGCTTGTAGTTCTTGCTTTAGGGTCTCCAAAATTTGCCCTGTGATGCACAATTCTGGCAGGGCCTTGCTTGCGGTCACAAATCTGTTCGAGCTGTTGGGGGCAACACTTCCGTTGCCGCAGAGCTACCGTGTGGTGTCCTCGAGCATGCTTTCTGTTTGGCCTGATGTCCTTACACGCAAGGTGCGATCATGACATATGATGACATCACCGGCCACCAGCCCCGAATCACTCAAAGCCTTGTGCCCCTACCCTGCTCATGAGCTGTATGGATTAGTCGCCAGAGGCGTGCACTCCACTTGGCCTACCCGTTCAGGTCAAGGTGGACGGGGGCGACCATTCCCTGAAGTGCCCCAAGAGCTTAGAGGCTGCAGCGGTCTCGGGCATCGAGGCCGCACTGCAGCAGTTCATCGGGTGATGGCACAGGGTCCCTGCGCTGTAGCCTTATGACATTATGAGACGATTTGAAACCACCATCACACCCATCCTCATCCTCATCACGGTGTTGAGCTTGGCCAAGCAGGCATTTGCTTCCGCTGGTTGGGCTGATGCTTCTTGGCAGCTTGGGGACCCTGTGTCAGCGATATCTGGGCTCTTGGATGTCAGGCTCTCACTTTTGACACTCCGACTCAGCATATGTGTTTTTTAAAGATGGGGCGGGACTCGGGCCTGGGTCGTGATGCTCAGTGAGGAGCCTTGGCCATTCTCGAAAAGCCGGTGTTCGGAACTGCGCCGGAAAGCTTCTCATGCCGTTCAACGCTTGGCTCACAGGAACGAGCTTCCATGGGACTGGGTTTCTGCCACCTGTGCCGGCTCCGCCGACAAGCTGGGCGGATGTTGCCGAGCCGCACCCCACCAAGCCGCAAGAATCGCTATCAGACACTAGGACACAGAAGAGCAACAGCAGACACGCAGACTTGATCCGCAAGCCGACGCATTTTGAAACCAGAGCCAGCTTGGCCGCAGCCTGCCCATGAGCAGCACGTAAAGAACGCGAGCAGCTAGCGCTGAGCCATGGCTTTCAGCCGGCTGATCTGTGCAGGCGGATGGGCTTGCCAGCAGGGCATCCAGCCAACTGGGCCCCCGACCGGGCCCATGATTTTCACAGTCAGTTGCCCGTCAAATGTTCCGAGCTGCGGAGTAACAGGCCCACCCCATAGACCATAGATGTAACCTCGCAGCACACAAGACAGCCTTTGAAAGGACGTCCTCACTTCCTCGCTGGGAGGGAGGGTGTGGGATGCGATGGATGCCAGGCAGCTGCCCGCTGGCAATGCTGCCACTTGGCACTTGGTAAAGGTTGGCGCGGAAGCGACCGCTGGTTGAGACAAAATGTGACCCCTTGGCCAGGCTATATATTGGTTGGGGTCCTGGAAGCAAATCTCCTTTTGGATGGTGTGAACAGAGCCTTTGTGGTCCAATGTTGTGTGTTGGTTGCGATTCCCTTTCGTGGGGCGGTGTTTCAAGGGGACATATGTTTTTTTCCCGAAAGCATGGCGAAGGGTTCTTCCGATGGGTTCACTTGAGTTGTTCTCATGAGAGTCATTACAAGGTGTCATTGCAAGGAATCATCATCATGAAAGTCAATGCAAGGAGTCATTGCAAGGAGTCATTGCAAGGAGTCATTGCAAGGAGTCATTGCAAGGAGTCATTGCAAGGAGTCATGCGCAGGTTGGTGCATTTCAAGTGCAAGTTGCAAGTGCAAGGAGGAGTCAGTGTGCATGGAGTCAAGTGCAAGTTGCAAAGCAAGTTGCAAGTGCAAGGAGTCAAGTGCAATTGACTTGCGAGGAGTTAAAATCTCTTCTTAGGGCGGCGGGGTAGTGCCGACGACACTACACGAAAATCGACCCTCTGCGGGGATCGGCGTGGTCGAGGTGCAAAAACCCATGGTTTTTTGCGATTTCTAACATGCTCGCGCGACCCTCTGCGGGGATCGGCGTGGTCGAGGTGCAAAAACCCATGGTTTTTTCCGATTTCCAACATGCCCGCGCGACCCTCTGCGGGGATCGGCGTGGTCGAGGTGCAAAAACCCATGGTTTTTTGCGATTTCCAACATGCCCGCGCGACCCTCTGCGGGGATCGGCGTGGTCGAGGTGCAAAAACCCATGGTTTTTTGCGATTTCTGCGGTGCCCGCGCGAACCCTCTGCGGGGATCGGCGTGGTCGAGGTGCAAAAACTCGAGGTTTTTTGCGATTTCTGCGGTGCTCGCGCAACCCTCTCTGCGGGAATCGGCGTGGTCGAGGTGCAAAAACTCGAGGTTTTTTGCGACTTTTTGTTCGAACTGGTCCTCGGGAGTTGTCTCGTGGTTCGCGCGCCTGCTCCCGGAACCGGCGGGTCGCGGGTTCGATTCCTCCCTGGTCCGCGGGCGGGCGTCGCAAGATGCAACTTGCTTTTTAAAGCAACTTGCGCAGAGCAACTTGCACAGAGCAACTTGCACAGAGCAACTTGCACAGAGCAACTTGCACAGAGCACCTTGCCTGGTGCTGTCTTGCCTGGTGCTGTCTCGCGCTTGCTTCACGAAAAAAGAACGCAGGGAAAAGCGTTGCATCCTGCCTCGTTGGGCCGTTCTCGCTTGCGATGTTCTGCTTTCGGGCCAACCGTGGTCTAGTTTTTTAGCTGATAGTGTGAACCATGTGTGAACCCTTGTTATGCCCCCCTAGTTTATGGTCAATTAGCCACTGCTTGGTGCTTGGAACCCTGACAATTGCCCTGGCTTCAGAATGCAGGCCTCGAGCACAGGCACAATTTGTTGCGCGGAGGCGGTCCACCTGCTAAGGGTGCCCATGTTTCTAGCCCCGAACAAATCCAAACAGGACGCCCCTTGGCTTGTTTACTATCAAGCAAAAGCTGAACCCACAAGAAGGAAGCTTAAGAGGAGGCTTGGCTCGCTCAATATCAAGGGAGAAGCTCGCAAAAATCATGGGGGAATAAGCTTCTAGGGCTTATTTGGGCTCCCTCCCCCTCCCCTCCCCCAGCCGCCAAACTGGACCAGCGACCGAGGATGGGCGTCCTCCCGGCTGGCTCCCAACCCTCGGGAGGCAACGAACGGGACCGCGCGAGGGGCGTTTCTTTCCATGTGGCCCATGGGGTGTTCTGAACAAGCAGGGTACTTCAAAGGGGCAGCAAGTGGTCAGTACGCCTGGTTATTGGCTGTACGTCTCCTACGCAGGTTGCAAGCATGGTTGTTGCCCACTCACCGCGCCCCTGCACCTCTAAGTAAGACTAGGCGCCTTTACGGCTTTGGGCCGGCACAGGGAGTTCTCACGTGCTTGTTCGCAATGATGTTCAAATTCGCAATGCTTGCTGCATTTGCGACATCTAGAGAAGACCTTGGAGGAGTTCCTGCCGGCCAAAGGCCTACACCATGGATACTGACTTGGCACAACCAGGGAAGTCCTTTTGGCCCAGCTAAACTCGTGCAGGTTGCCTCTTGAGTCTATGCCAGAATCGCCGCATCGTGCAGGCGTGGGCTTTGGGGGGCTTCAGCCGCAGCAGCCGCTGCAGCCAGCACAACCTGGCATGGGCAGCGGCCTAGGCGCAGAAATTCGCAAACTCGCGACCTTTGGGCAACGCTTTCTGCACTTCTAGGCCTTTTCGCAGCAAGGAAGCGGAGGGGGACCCGCAATCTGACGTGCCCCGCACTGCGCATCTTGCATGGGAAGCAGTGACCCGATGGCACGGCGTTTGACAGCAATGCTTGGCTCGGGCACGTCGATTCCAACCGTGATGCGGCGTGTGTTCAGCTTGCTCCACCCGGTTCACAGATCAAGGGGTCGGGAGGCATGGTTGGGAAAGAGCCATCAGAAGCGCACCATCAGTTAGGAAGTTAGGAGGCACTTGGGCGTTCTGCTGGGCGATGCATCAGGTGGTTCGCGATGTCAAGATTCCACCTGCCCACAGTCTGACTGAAATGGAAGCCCGTGGGCAGAGGAGACCTGGAGGGCATGTCATGTCCAAAAACTTGGGCCTGTTCCGGAGGCGCGTTTTGATTAATTTTGCCTTCAGAGATCCAAAAGGGTGTGTGTGGAAGGCGGCGTCCGGGACGCCGTTCTCTCGCCCCCTCGCCGGTTGCCAGGCGGCGTCGGCGGCGGCGGCGGCGGCATGGGAAGTTTTGGCGCACCTGGCGCGGGAAGTTTTGGAGGCGAAGTGGCGAACTGGCCTTCCTAAATTAAGATGAATCGGCTGGTTTACTGAAGGAAGCGGAAGTTCAAACTGACAAAATCCTTCCATTGCGCGTGTTGTTTTGCATCAAGGTGTGGCACAAGATGCGGCTTCTTTTGCCTTTGTATATGCTCCGTGAGGCCGGGGCTGTTCAACACTTCCGGCCGCAACTGCTAAGAGCCTTAAAGTGCATCGTTGCTCCCAAGCCATGTCTTCCTTGTCACAGCCTTTTGCTTCCTCGAGGCCTTGGGAGCTTCGGCGCGCCGGGAAGTCAGGGCGCTGCAGCCCAAGGCCGGGCCAGGCGTGCAGCTGATGCTGTTAGTGGCCTGCGCCTACTTAAAGGGGCATGGTTATGGCCCACTTACCATGGTTGTAAGTCTCCTGAGTGGGTTGTGACCATGGTCGTTACCCGCTTACTAACCGCTTACAAAGAACTTTGCCCCTTTAAGTAACCGAACCTGTAGTGCTTGCTCGCATATTCGAAAAGTAGGTTTTCTTTTCAAAGCCCCAAAGCTTACAGAAACCCTCCTTTTTTCCGGCATCTTGCACTTTCCAGGTTTCGGGGGCGGCCTTGGTGGCGGCCTTGGTGGCGGCCTTGGTGGCGGCCTTGGGGGCAGCGCGGGTGGACCAGGTGGCGGTCTGGGGGGCGGCCTCGGGGGCGGCCTCGGGGGCGGCCTTGGTGGCGGCCTCGGGGGCGGCCTTGGTGGGAACCCTGGCAGCGGTGGCCTGGGCCTTGGAATGGCGGCTGGGCCGGGGCCGGGGCCGGGCCTTGGTGGCCTCGGTGGCGTCGCTCCCATGGGCGGTCTTGGAGGCCTTGGAAATCCAGGCCGAAGTCGAGTGGCGAAGCTGCTGTTGCCGCGCTTCTTTTCGTTGGGGCAATGTGCCTATGAAACTGGTTGCCCACCGGGATTTTCGGCTCAGCCTATCCCATCATACACCAACAACGGGGCTCTTCCTGTGGACCTTGCGAGGGTTGTAGCTAGCTGGCCAGCAGGACCCAATCAGCTTGCAGCTTGGTGTTGGGTTCTGCGCGCTCGCTTCTTCAGGGGCAGCTTCAGGCCCTTTGGGCGGATTTCTGCCGGACGCGTCTGCCCAGCCGTCCTTCAAAAAGCTGCCCAGCGACCCAGCGACGCTGCACCAGGCTTTCCACTATGCGGACATCGCGGCTCCTTGGCGTTGGGTGGGGGCGCAGGCAACCGTTGCCCGCGCCTTGGCCCGGAGACGTGTCACTCTTTTGGATTGGTGGGGCCTTAGGTTCTGTTCAGTTTTGCAGTGGGCTGCAAAAGACAAAGTTTTTGCTACCATACCAAGGATTGTAAAGTTAGGGTCTGATGCGTGCCCACTTGTAAAGGGAGCGTGTAAAGGACAACACATCATCAGGATTCGTGTTGAGGAATGCAAGCCGTCAAGCACCAGTCACACTTGTTGCGTGGTAGGCAGGTTGACAGCAGGTGTCCCTTCTTTCGGAAGACAAGTCCAATAATTGTGCACTATGTAACGGCTGACCTGCATATCATTTTGCATACGGACACGTAGGCCAATGGGCGTATAGTGGAAATTGCTGCCCCAGCTCTACTGTTTTGTCCCAGTTTTTGCCCCACAGCCAGATATTTCGCTCGGTGAAAGCTGTATGCACCAATCCTCTTTGCTTGGGGTTCACGGCAACCCCTCTGAGGCTTACCTCCTCCAGGCACCGCAGCCAAAATCCATAGAGGAGTGCAGGGAGCTGCCCGGCTGGAGTCAGCTCCCTTCCCAGCGCTCGTTTTTTGTCCGGGGTTGTTTTGGTTGTGCCCCCTGTGCAGTTTGCCCAAAATGGTTCCTTTGGGCCTGCAAACAGGCGCCGTGTTTTCGCATCCTTCATCCTTGTGCCAGATGGTGGTTGTTTCCCGCCCCCCTATCGCCGTTACGGGTTAGCATTAGGACATATTATGGATCCCTACTTTGAACAACCCATTCTCCCACTAGCCACGAGGCTTTGCAGCCAGAACAGCACCTGCGCGGCATGGGAGGCGTGCCGGCATCCGCCCCCCGACATGCCCCCCGACATGTTCAGTGGACGTCCTTTGCCAGACCTCCAGCCTGGCTCGTCGGCGAGCTCTTGCACCTTTTGTGCAAGAGAACAGGGAAGGCAATGTTACTGCAAGGTAAGCCCAACTTAAAAGGTGGGCTCAGTGCCTGGAGGAACCTCTTGCGCCATACAGCTAGCTTTGGATAAGGTCGCATCACAGGCCATGCAAGCTGAGGAGCAACTGAACCACCCACTGAAGGGTTCAGCGCCAAAATCCAGATATTATGTCGAGATTGAATCAAGGGCTTTCTCTGGGCGTGGGGCCTTTCGAAAAACCGGTGGATCCATTGCGGCAAGACTCTGAGCCGCCCGCCTGCATGCTCTCTTCTTGTTTTTGGAGGGGGGTCCATTTGGCTCTGGGTCAAAATTGAGCCACGAGGGGACCGCAGGTTTTAGCCCTTGGTTCCATTTACCAGGGTTCCATGTCGGGTACCTATTTTTGCCCCACAGCCTCTTTTTTTTTCCGTTGTTCGGCGCCTGAGACGGACTCTCGCGCACGTCAGGTGTGCGCGCCACTGGGGGACGGCTGCGATGGATGTTACCTCATCTCCCGGGCCCCTCGGCGCTGGGACCAGCGTGAGCACTGGCACGCCGAGGTGCTGCCAGGCGCGGCGTGCCGTTTGAGTCGGCAGGGAGGTGGGGGTTCCCCCCCCAAAAAAAAAATACACACCTCAGGGGGTCCATCCGACCTTCCTCAGGTCTTTGATGGCATCAGCGCTCCTATCATGGTTGCCTGGTAAGGTTTAACTATCTACAGCTGGTGCTTGTCTAGTTGGACGTGGCTTGGCTTGAGCTTGATTGAGCAACTGGAAGGAACCCGCATCGGCAACAAGTGCCCTGGCCTGCCGTCAGGCCGGGAAGAACTGGGCTGGAGCAGCAATGAGACGGGCGTTGCCACTGGCACTGCACCCCCCCAGAACTCCCCAAGAGGCCCAAGAGATCGTGGAAAATGTGGGTTTTCCCTGGCCTTGATCAGACTTTGTGAGGGCTGGGAGGCTCAGACAGGGGCCCACAGTTGCATTTTGCCTGGGGCGGGCTTGGTTCGATTCCCGCCCGGCTGTTTGTGCACCTGCCATTCCCTCTGGCCCCGATCCTGGTTCACAAGTGTCGGGCCAGTGTCGGGGGGGGGGGGGGGGCCAGCCTGCGAGGACTTGTCTAGAGCCTGGGCAAAAGGCAGCGTTGGCAAAAGCGAACAAATAAAAGCTTCGTGTAGCTCGTCTGTTCTTGTCTTAAGTTGAGATTATGGGATTATGGTTTTCCTTCTGCCCCGTAGGCTGACACGCTTTGCGGATTGGACTCGATTCTCAACTGCCAACTGCCAAGAATTGGAACATCGAGCGCCAGCCTAGTGCAACTGCCCAACATGCAATCCTGGATCAAACCAAAAAAGTGTTTGCGCGTGCAAGTAATGAACAAGCACGCCCAACGCAGACCAACTTATACTTGTTGAACATGAAGCCCCAGAGCAAGGTTGTGTTTTTCTTGTTCTTTTCTTTTTTCGGAAACCGTTTTTTGTTGTTTTTCTTTTCTCCAGTCGGTGTAATGTGCCTAGAGCTTCGTGACCCACAGTGCCCAGCAGCCATGTCTGCCAATAGACCGTGCCATAGCCGTAGCCACCATGCTTTTGAGCGTGGAGGTGGTCGCAAAGCCCTTTGTTAGGGTCTTGCTGAACCAACTCCTAAGAGAGGAGTTCAAGCGCGCGTCACCCTGGTTCGGAATACTGCTTGCGCGGCACGGTACGCTTGAGAGGCGTGTCGCGCATGCTGCACTTGGGTAGAGGAAATTGGGGCAGAGACACTCAGGTCGTAGGTAACCATGCTATACCCTTTGCGATTCGGAAGTCGACAACAGGCTTTCAAGACTTTTGCTGCTTTTAGATGGAGGGTACTTGGAGTAGGGACGGCGGGGCAGAGTCAAGGTGCTGCCGGGCTGAGGCGAATCTGACTGCGGCCAGCTGCAGGGAGTTCCTGTTGCAAGCTAACGGAGGCTTGGCTTTTGAGTCCGTTCAGTTGCGGATGGGCACTTCAAAGTTGAAGCGGCAGCTTGTTTTGGGCAGGCACATTGGTACCATAGGCTGGCCGGAGAGGGCAAGTGCTGTTAAGCCTGATCTGTTTGCAGGATCAAGGCATGGACACCTCTCGTGTGAGTACAAGGGGCTTCGGCTAGACCCATGGCACCCCTACTGAGGAGCTGACCAGAGCGTGCCCTTTCATGAGCCGGCAATCATGCAGAAGTATTCAGCGCTCTTTGGCCGAACGTCCTATGCTGCGCAGCTGTGAGCATTGTGTTGCCCTAGTTTCAGTATCACTACTGTATGTGGCAGTTGCTTGTGGGTAAGGACCTTCTCAGGTGTCGCAAGGAGTGATTCTTTATTTGAATCTTCTATTGGCATGTTTGGACCGACGTCCAGTTGCAACTCGAAGCAGGTATGACTGTAGAACGGGCTGGTCTTCTGTGATGCCCACGGTGTTTAACCCCATGTTAGTGGCTTGACGTGCTTCGCGGTGCCCAACACTCACACCGGAGCTTCATTTGCTCAGCTGTCCTACCGCCCGCCCTCAGCTGTGCTACGCCGAGGTGTGGGTCCCTGGTCTGGGAGGAGGAGCGTCCGAAAGAGCTAGACGTGCTGGGCCAGCATTGGCCCACCTTCCTCATCTCCAACTTCTGGGAGCCCCCGGTGCTGCTGCCCAAGGCGCGACATTGGGTAAGGCACAAGGCACAAGGTCCCCCGGCCTTCTGGTGGGACGTCTATGGATTTTTTTCCACACGAACTCTAGGGGCTTGATTGTTGATTTGGCCACTTCGCTTGGGAGAACGAGCCCAGAAAATGCAGGGTTTTTGCAAGACCAGCTACAACCGTGCCATTGTTCGACAGGCAGGGGCCACTCTCTTTGTTGCGGCGTCCGGTACGCAAATGGAGCGGTAAAGGCAAAGATTGCTGTCACAACCCTTGCCAATTCAAAGTCAAGGGCACAACCTGCAAGCACTGTGCTTAGATGGCAAGTTGCGTGTGCTCCTATGCCTGAGGAGCTGTGGAATGTCAACGTCAATTGAAAGCATGTGTAGATCAAAGGAATGCAAGCCGCAATGCAAGGTCATCAATGGTCATGGGCCCAGCTTACAATCTTGCAGCAGTTCACCTGCCGTTTAGCAAGCTGTAAAATATACATTGTGCCATCCATGGAATTCGGCTGACCGTTCTTCCTGGTTTTGGAGGGGAGTTTGTGTGCTTATGTCTCTTGGGGTTTGGCGTTTTGAGCCACATGAGGAGATTGTACTCGTGCATGCGATTTCCTCAATTCGTTCGTTGGATTCTAGGACTTAGACTTTACAACCCCGAACCTGTTGCTCCATCTCTTGACCAAAGAGCACCAGTTGGGTCGAACAAACGCCGACCGGAGAGGTTTGAAGCTTAATTTGGAGTTCCAAAAACCCGGAAGCAACGAAGAAGCCGACGACAAAAGCCACAACTCCTCGGATCCGTGTGTTTGAGGTCCCAAAAAGCCGCAACAACGAAGAAGCAAAAGCCGAAAACAAAAAGGACGCCGCCGCGGCGCGAATGCTGCGATCCCAGGAGGTGGAGCAGGAGATGTTGGCCTCCAGCCCACGGGCGCCCCGGAGTCCCACCCCCCAAGCGCAGGCCATGTTGGAGGCCATGCAGCGCCCAGGCGAGTCAGCTTCCTACCGGACGGTCCGATCGGTTCTGAGTTGGGATCCTAGGGGCGGAATTTTGTACAGGTAAGTGGGTAAGTGGGTACGCCTGGTTCTCACCCAAGGAGACGTACCAAGCCAAGCGGGTTGTAACTAGGGTTCCGCATCGGGTTTGGAGTCGGTACCTCACTCCCACCCGTGAACATGAAACCTGAGAGGTCCAATTACAAGGAAGGTGGCCAAACCAGGACCCCCGCCCCCCCCCTTCCCCCCCGCCCCAACTCCCAAAAACAAAGCAAAGAAAAAGAAAAGAACAACTTCGAATAGTTCCACGTTAATTGGTGGAAGGTACCCTTGTTTTGTTTGGAAACCAAGGGGGGCGCTTGCTTGGGGTACCTCAGGGTTTCTTGAAGAACATCCGATGGGAATGGTGAAAATCAGCGGGTAAAAGTGATGTTGGTACTTAAAGGGGCGCTCAATTCGGTACGTCAGGTAAGTGGTTAAGCAAGCCTGGTTACAACCCACTAAGGAGACTTACGGCTATGGAATAACTATGGTTGTCATCCAATTACTAAGTACCCTGCCCCTTTAAGTACTTACCCTCGCACCAATTGACATGGAGCCTGACTGTTTTGGTCTCAGTGGAAGACCTTTTGAAGGGACCCTCCGGTTCCACGTTAATTGGTGGGAGGACAAAGAGGCAGGGTACTGTATTTAGTAAGAGCGATTTGCCATGATGATGGTCCTTGACCCCCCCTTCAAGGTCGCCAAAATCAATCAGGCGTGGTTTTGTGTTATTTGGGGAGGGGGGGCTTGTCAAACTTTGATTTGTTGAACAAACTGTAGTAATATATTAGTTTTGTTTTCGGATCGGTGATTTTTTGGAGCTGTGGCAATCCTCGGGGCTATGAAAAAAGCAGCATATTGGAAGATGTGTTTGCAATGGCTTTTGCAATTCATATATTGGATTTGATTGCTTTTCGGACTTTCTGAGGGGCGGGAAAGGTTACAGTAGCTCTAATCGGAGGGTTTTTTAGAGGTGACAAGCATAGAGACCACTAGACCAAAAGCTCAAAACCTTTAGGCTTGCTGGTGCTATCTGGTCAGGGAACGACCGGTCCGGGTGGGAATGAACCTATTCCCAAGGAAGCCACCAGTTGGATTGTCGGGGTCATTCCATGTCTCATTCGCCCTTTCGCAGGCGTCACCGAGCAGTTGCACGGAACCATCGGGTCCGGCACCTGGGAGGAGCATCGCAGAAGTAAGGCGCGCGGCAAAGCGGCCAAGGGTTTCCGCTCTTGCGGCGAATGTTTCAGCCTCGCTTCGGAAAAGTAAATGCACTGCACGGGTGCCTGAACTGTTGAATGAGGTTGGGGGAAAATATGGGAAAATACACCCCCAGTAGGCTGCAGAGACTTTGTCATCCTCAACACATGGTGAGCGCATGTTTATGGGGGAACCCCCCCCAACTGCTCAAACGCATCAGAGCTCCCTTTCGCGGCTATTTTGTTGGCTCGAAAGTTGAAAGTGCCTTGCTTGACCGTCCTTTTGCACATATTACATACAGGGGCGGTCGAGTACTTTGTGAGTTAGGCAATAGCCACGGTTATAGCCCACAGAAGCCATGGTTAGTTGTAAGGTACCCTGCCCCAAGCATGATTGTTCAGTAGTTGGAAATGGTTGACCGTGCTCTTTTCAATATGTTTTAGAAGAATTCACAGTTTGCGGGGCGCGAGCTTGTTTCTGGTTTTTGGGATGTAAAGACGCAGCATGATTAATAAGGTAGGGTCGGAAACAAAGGTTTTGGGGAGACCCTATGCGTGTGTGTGTGTGTGTGTTTTGCGTGTGAAAGTACCCTTTCTTATATTGAGCACCTTGTCCATTTCGCGGGGCCTAGGTGATTTTGGGATTGACAGTGGCGGGTTGCGAGCACGATGCCAGCAGATCCCTTGGGACCTGGCACGGATGTTGGCCCGAGATGCGCGCAGATGCTGCACTGCCACGCTACTGCAATCCCGGTTGGGCAAGGCTGCCATGCCAAACAAGTGCCGTGTGGCGGGTCCCTCCTGTCCATCCATGATGCGCGACGTTAGGGTTAGGAACATGTTTTTACTTACCCCAAGTCAGGACAACTCATTTAAGGTAAATCTGGGGCCAAGGGTGGATGGGATTAAGCCGCCGCTTCCACAGGCGCGCGCTCCCCATGCCTTCGTTCTGCCCTTCTATGACACAAACATCGGGCATTGGATGAAGCAGCACGGGTCCATGAACCCTCTACAGTCCTACGCAGCTCGTTTTCAGAAGCTTTTGCTGTGAAAGCTCCTGTGGCTGCTTCCATCTAGGGTCGCCACCGTGAAAGGCTTTTCCGGCCACGGCTTCATGCCGCAGGATCCGAACACTGTTTGCACCAAGCCGGCTGGCCAACATATCAGCGGTAACGAGACAGCGGTAATGAGACAGCGGCCAAAGCAGCAGCAAGCATTTCACGCCAGGGACTTTGTTTGACGCATGCTGCATGGGCGTTTGTTCCAGCGCAAAATGATGGCAACCAGATGTGCATGTTTGTCTTACGACATGCAGCATGTAAGACCAATGCCTCACCATGACAAGCTGCGATTACTTGCGTGAGCCTTGTGCTCAGGCTGTAGTTTCCCGCGAGGCTTTGCGGGTCAGCATTAGAGAAGTGCACCACTGTGACATGTCTTGGCCGTGATTGTTTTGGCCGGACTAGTGAACTCATAGGTGTCAGAAACATGCTGGGTCCAAATTTGTTCACCTTCAGATGGAGCTGCTGCAATCGACGGATCAAGATTGGCTAAGGAGATGCAGTCGCTGCTGCAAGCAGGGGACACTGTGGTGGATGTGGGCGCCAATCTGGGCTGCCACTCAGCTCCAAAGGGCTGGCCCTCTGCGACCTCATATGTAGTCTTAGGTTTGGATTAATCCGTGGGACCATGCTAATCAGAGGGTTCCCCGACAACATGATCTAATTCCGCACTCCAAGGGGAGGACCCTGAATTGGGTTTTGGACCTCTGGTGCCATTCATGTGCATTCTGATAATTACAAAAAACATATCGTTTCCAATGGCGCCAGAGATGTCACATCGACACATCTACATTATGTGATCACAGTTTAAAAAGCAGTATTTTTTGGATATTGATCTACATAGTCAAAAATAATGTAATACGATTGGTAAAATGTAATAAAACTGGCATATAGGTGATTTATCGGAGGTTAGGATCGGTTCTAGGTTTATGCTTGTCCAGCTTTGATCATGGCCCAAACTGCTGCCAGTTCCAGAGCTGAAAAGAGCGACCTCGGGTTGACGCCAAGGATGTTCGTTCACCTTGACCGGATTCCCTGAGGGGCCATTTGCCTATGCACCCTTAGAACCAAAGATCCACCCATGTTCTCAAACAGCGAACAACAAACCTTCAGCTAAATGCCTCCAAAAACGTTCCGAAAGGTTCGGGTGTGGCGATTTTGCAAGGGCTGACGCAAACTCATCAAAAACGGGGGGGGGGTGGTTGGGCCGTGGTTTTGGCCTTTCGGAGGCTACACCCTGCCCTTCGCCGAGCGGGTGGGGCCAGCCGGCAAGGTCATCGCTGTGGAGCCCTTCCGGTGGCTGCGACAGTGGCTTGGGATGGAAACGGAAGCGGTGCGATGTGGGGAGCGGGGCTGAAAGGGGCGATCGATCCGGTACGTCAGGTAAGTGGCTAGTAAGCCTGGGGAAAAATAACCACTTCGACTTATAACCATAGGCTTTTGTGGGTGTTTTGCCCCCTCGCCAAGTACAATGCCCCTTTAAGTAGGGCATCCTCTACACTTCTTGAAATTGAAGCAAAACGACTGTGGAGGGCATCATGACAACCTGGAGATCCAGCGAACTTGGGTTCAAAGCCTCTGTGCAGTTTGTGGTTCAGGGATGGCAAGTGGCCTTTGCAAAGGCCTGGGAAGGCTCAGGGAAACGCCTGGGTGGTTTCCATGTAGGACGTCCTGAGAGAATCCTTGGCTTTTGGGGATCGGAATCCGAGGATCGTGGCAGCCAATGTGGCCATCAATGGCCTGAGCAACGTGTGGCTGCCGCCGGTGGGTCTGGGGGCAGGTCGCTCCAGCTTCGAGGCGCGAGCCCCGCAGTTCCGCTTCTTCTCCTCCCCGGGGGGGATGAAGCTGAACCAGCAGCAGCAGGACATGAAGCCGGAGGAGACCCATGCTGAAAGGGGCGATCGATTCGGTACTTCAGGTAAGTGGTTAAGCCTGGCTGTTAGGAGGCTTATCACCATGGTAAGTGGGCTATTATCATGGACCATAGCGTTTACCCTCTTTCTTATCTACCCTGCCCTTTTAAGTGGGAGCCGATCTTTGCGACTCATTGTTTCACATTCTTTGGAGGCCCGGGCCCGCTTTCAAGTCTCAAAAGGAAGGGCGCCCTCCTGCACCGCCGGAATGAGACCAGTCGAGTCTCATGCCTCGCGCTCCCGACCGAATGCCCAACCGCGCGATTGACGGAATCCTGCACCACCCTCACGTGTCACTCCCTATGACACTACGACCTTCATGCGGGTCACACCCTGCGGGCGCAGGATTTCTTCCGCCCACCGCGCCTGGTCAAAACTGGGAGATCGAGCTGCCCGGCAGACGGCCGCATCACAAACCCGGCTCGTCCTTGGCAGTCAGTTCTTGATACGTCGCGCTGGCACTACCGGGTCACCAGGAGCAATCATTTGGCCGGTTTGGACAGTGGCCGCTTTCTGCCAAGGTGGCTGGGGTTGCACCAATGATGAGTTGTGGCAGGGTGTGCGGGTGTGGCAAGGTTTTGTGTGTGTGTGTACACTGCGGTTGGCACCACTTGCTTTACGTTCTGCTTGTGTGCTGGCTTTTGTGAGGTTTACATGGGGTTTACCCCTCGAGCCTCAGCTGCCAACCACCAATTAATTAGAAGGAAGCTGAGGAAAAGCCCGTAACGCCGGGCTCTTCGAGAGCTTTGGCCATTCTTGTCTCCTCTCTGGGCTCTTCCCGCTCTTCCCCTGCCCCGAGCCTTGCACGGCCATTCGCTTTCGTTTCCCTTCCTTGGTCCACATACGTACGTACATACAGTACATACCAATATCCAAAATACATAATCACATATACATGCACGCGTGCACATTCATTTTTTTGTCCCGCTAGACACGCGAATTTGAGCCGGAAGCCAGATGGGCAGGAGGTGATGCAGATGTACGACTGGGATATGCCCCCAGAGAGGATTTCTGTGGTGACTCTGGACGAGCTTCTTGGTCTGGTGCCTGGTGCTGGAACTGAGCTTTTGGGCCTCCCTCCAGTGGATGGCATCAGGTGCCTCGGATTCTGAGAGACAGGAAAAGCCAGGAGCTCATGGGCAGATGGCATCACTATTAGTGTGGGAAACACAGGAAGGCCACGCTAAGAAGACTAAGGCTAAGATATGTCGGCAGAGCTTCATAGAACCCCCCCCAACCCCTACCCTTCGCAGAGTCCCCTTGCGGTTTCTGCAATGATGTCGTCAGCATACTTTCGGCCTTCAAAACAAGCCCCTTGGCCGTTTGTCTCGGTGCCAACCTTGCGTCACCCCGCTGAATTCGGCGCAACGGACCGGCGTTCTCCCCTGTTGGGATGCCAGCCCCCAGCTCCTGTGGCTGGATCGAGTCAGTGCACACAACCAGTTGCCCCGGCCGAAGCTGGCGGACCTAGGCCTGCTTAAAGGTGCGAGCGAGGCAGGGTACAGGTAAGTGGTTAGTATGCCCTGGTTATAGCCCACTGAACGGAGACTGACATCCACAGCTTTTGCAGGTTATAAGTTCTATATAGCCATGGTTATTGCCCACTTACCTGACGTACAATGCCCCTTGAAGTGCAGTTGCCACGTATCGGCAATCGCCGAGGCTCATCAAGATAGACGTGGAAGGCATGGAGAAGGAGGTCATTGCCGGAGCCAGGCAAGCCGTCCAGATCTTCAAGCCCATCATTTGGTCGGAAAACGTCGCGTACTTCTCCTCCAAGGGCTGCTGGGGCATGAAATGTTTGACGCTTTTCTTGCTGGTGCGTTCTCGGCAGCGAGTGAGAAATGGAATGCCCCCGAGCAAAACAATCCAACTGGTGATTTCCTTTACGGAATCCCCAGGTTCATTCCCTCATTCCCTACTGAGCACCAGATTAGCAAGTTCTGGGCTGAAGTTCTTGACAGCAATCAAAACTTAGCCGTTTCAGCTTGCCTTTTCGAGGTTCTTTCCGGCTAGAGTGCTGGTTTCTTGGGGAGGGGCTGCAGCAGTCAGGCTTGATTCTTTCTGGGCGGCTTGGCGCTGAGGCTCATTTCCCCGATGGAAAACCCGGGACCCTCCAACGAAGAGCCTTTTTGAGCCACCGGCCAATCCGAAGCCTCAGAGGAAGATTTGGGTTGTTTTGTTTCGCAACGAATTGCTTTGGTAGCAATTTTTGCAGCTAGTGGTTGGTTGGCTTGGCTTGGCTTGGCTTGGCTTGGCTTGCTTGCTTGCTTGCTCGCCCGCTTCTTCATTTCTCTGGTTGTCTGGTTAACCGGCGCCCAGCGGGGGGCTGGCGCCAAGCAAGATACAAGTCCAGCCAGGCGAACGGCCAGAATGCCGTACTACAGGCTTTCTTGTTTGGTAGGCAGAGTTAAGTGAAGGTTGTTCATGCTAAAGCAGTCGGTTGCTAAAGGAATCTATGCAGAAGAATATGTTTGCTGTCGTGTGAACATGGGTTCACAATCGGAAGCCGCAGCGTATTATGCTTTGACACCAGCCAGCAGCACCCACAAGCTGAGGTCAAGATGTCTCCTTCTTGCAGCTCCTCGGCTAAATCCTTGCCCGCCCGACCAGGAGTTGCAAGCAAGCACTCTTTGCGACGTCAGGGTTTCTTCGTACAAGTTATAAGTTTCCCAGATGAAAACTGCAAAGACAAAGGCACGTGTGAGAAAGAGAGGGTGCTCCATCTAGTAGATACTCGTAGACTTCCAAGAGCCTGGGCCTGTTTGCAAATTCGTGTATGGGCCATCTAATAGGCCAGTCAAGGCTTTGCCAGCGTTCAATTTGGCCGTTGAAACTGGGCAATCATATTAATATTGGCCAAGTGTGGCTTCAAATCTGCTTTTTGGGGTGGACACATTGCCCTAAAATCCAATGGAGGTGAAACCAAGAGACAAGACACGTAGTGATTCCGCTGGCAGTCCTGCTGACACTTCCCGACATACTAGCACAATGGCTGATTCAATGGCTCACACTTGATCGCCCGGCTGGGAATCTGTGAGCTGTTGTCAAATCGCTGCACCCACTCACTGATGCAAATGCGAAGGAGCTCGGATCAGGGACCTTTTGATCAGGGGGGTGTCTAAACCCAGAGTGCTCTTTCTTGCTTTGTGTTGCTCTGTTTGGCTTAAATATTGTTAAATGTTCATAAACAAGTTTTTGTCTGAGTGAATTGTTTTCTTCGCAGAAAAAAGGGATAAACCCACTGCAAGAACACACATTCAAGATACCTATTATCATTCTTTCTTGCACTTACTATTTGCAAGTTGCCACGTGGAGCAAGTGCTGATTACTGACTAGATTGACTATTGGAGTGCTTACCCTTTGTTCGCCCATGATGCCCCATGATGACCAACGACAAGCATTTTTTCCCGGCCGGTTTCAGCAGTTTCGAGATGTTGGGTTTGTTGAATTGAGCTGGTCTTGTTCATGAGTTGATCAGCAATGGTATACTATGAGTTCCCACCCTCAGATTCTTTGAGATGGCTTGAAAAGGGAGTGTGTGTGTGTGTGTGTGTGTGTGTTTGTTTGTCGGCAATGTGAACAAGAATGTAACAGAACCGAAGATTGGCATGTGTCGCGCAAAGTACTTAAATAGGTCATTTTGGCTCAACTAAGCTAGCAAGGCTCAAAAAGGCTCATCATGGAGCTAAAAGACAAGGCAAAGTGATTCTCCGGGGTGTCTCACCAACTCTGCCAATTCAGACCTTCCAGATCTGGTTTGCTTCTTTTTTCTCCCGTATCGGCGATACAGATCATCGCATGCAGAGACGCAGTTGGGGTTTTTGGTCCCTAGGCTCATGGATGAGCTGGAGTACACCTGTGCTGGGGCACAGAATGCGCCGAACGACATCATATGCACCGACAGACAAGGCCGCGGGCACCAGATCCAGTGAGCGCATTCGCTCTCGGAAAAGGAGTTGGTCTCCGAAATCGGCCGAGTTCGTACTGGCGCGGTTGGGGTGGCAGATCTGTCACTGGAAACCTGTCATTTTTGTTGCGCATCCAAAACCCTAAACCATGAACCTGCAGGCCAATTGAGGAAAATGCTTGGAACCTCAGCATACGCAAGGCGCTTGTGTCCTTTTTTTGGGCTTGATCCCTGCTTGCTGTTGTCCGCCAGGTAATCTCTTTCTCCCTGACAATCATGTCTCCGTCCATTGAGTCGATATCAAGTAGCTTCGATTTAACTTGACCAAGGGATCTTTTGACGGCAGCCAGCTGGGTGAATCTTTGCCAAAGGCGGTTGGTACAGAAATCGTGTTTTAACAGGGGGCATGTGCCAAAGCTATCTCCTGCTTGACATGTTGTGGTGTGGCAACCTGAGAATGATGCTGAAATAGTGTTTCAGCACGTGTCAAACTACCGCTTTGCAAAACGTGGTTGTGGTTCCCCGCAAGCTGACCTGAAAGGATACCCGCACACAAAGCGTACACCTGGGAGCTCAACAATGCAGTTATATATGCTTAGCCGTCCGGACACGCACACAGATTTGGGGCCTTGGCTTTTGCAATCGACAACCCTTCAAGGGCTGATGGCGAAGTACTGTAGCAGCTGCATGACACTCTTTGAGAGCTCCATATCATACAGAGGCATGTGTTTAATCTTGAAGTGGGTTCTTTGAAGGGTTCTGAGAATCCTTTTCATAATGGTGATGGGGTGGGCGGGCCTAAAGCTGATTCTCTATGGCTGACATGTGTGCACCTGTCACCCCTGTCCTTGCCGGGCGTTGGATCAAGGTGGCCGTCGAACAAAGCTTGCGGTACTCAGCGTCCCACGCCCCACCCAGCGAAGTTTTGGAATCTGGAACACACACAGACAGGCAATGGTGCTGTTCACGCTTCGTTTCTCCAAGTTCCACGCATCGCATCCAAATTGCAGCTTCTATCCATTGACGCATCACACAGATCCGCGGCACCACGATGGAGGAGACGCGCAAACAGATTTTGCTTTGATAGCCAGCACCCCCGGCTTTTTGCCGAAAGTGCGCAGGCACTGAGGATTCACACAAGGCCCCCAACTAGATCGGGGACCTTCAGACTTGATTTTCAAATGGCACTGCTCTCCGGGGAATTGCAAAATGGGCATGAGTCAAAATTAAACCACCAGGAATTGGACCGCAGGTTTTGGTGCATGTTTCCACTTACTAGGGTTCCATTTGGGGTACCTATTTTTGACACACAGCCAAATGGCACCCACCTATTGCAGATTCGGCTGGGGAGAGCATTCCGCGCCCAACAGCTGGCAGGAGACCGACCTGTACGGCTCCATTCGAGGCACTGCAAAAGGCGTTTTTGTGGAGAGGCCCAACAAGCCTGGCAAGGCGGGAGTCGACCCACACACACACACACACAAGGGTGCGCGCAACTTCCGCGCGCTGTCAGCCAGCTAGCAGATAGACTTCCAAGAGCCTGACCCTGTTTGCAAATTCGTATATGGGCCAATGGGCCGGCCAAGGCTTTGCGTTCAATTTGGCCGTTGAACTGGGCAGTCAGATTAAGATTGGCCAAGTGTGGCTTCAAATCTGCTGTTTGGGGTGGATTGCCCTAAGATCCAATGGTGAAACCGCCCGGCGATGAAATGGGAGAGCTTTGCACGTGAGAGTGGCATTGTTTGACCCGCCATGACATGGCCTACGAGTCACCTATTTCTCAGTCCGCGACATCAGGGCACCAGCTTTGTTAATTCCGCTGCCATGCTAGTCCTGGGCCCCAATGGGGGGCTGTGCATCGCGAGGTTGGGTTTGCGTAGCCTGCATTGGTAATTTGCTTTGGCGAAGTTACTAACTTTAGCGACTTGGCGCGTGCTTTTCAGGCTCTGCTTGGGAGGCCACAGAATCTTGTTCAAGAGGCTGTGAAGCGTTAAGGATGCTGGGGTGCTGTTGCTGCGATCTCGCAGTTGCGCCACATGTTCGGTTTGGGATGGGTCCAAGTCACGTATCACATATTGCAGGTCAACCTTTCGCGGCATGTTGAGCAAAGCAACGCAACACAACGCAAAGCAAAGCAAGCACGGTGGTCTGTGTGGGTGTGTGTGTGTGTGCGTGCGCGCCTGCTTGTTTGTGCGTTATGTATTCTTGTGTGTATATGTGTGTTTGCGTGTTTGTTTGTTTGTTTGCCTGCTTTCTTGTTTGTTTGTTTGTTGTTTACTGAGAAGTGTTTGGCAGGTGGCTGTCTGTAAAGGCCGCCTGCGCCACATAAACGGGCTTGGTGCTCGCACAAGTTGCGTGCAACTGACCTGAAATAACCCAAGGCAAAGAAGGCTGTTTGTGCACGGCAGCCGTGGTCGTGTTTGCTCTTCGGCCCCTCCATCACATTATTTGTGCGCACGGTGCCGCACAAGGGGTCCTGTGGTGCGAAGGTGTCTGGAAAGTGGTGTGCAGGCGTATGTGGTGCATGGGTTGCCAGGGACGCCTCCATACAATCATCCGAATTGCATGCGCGCTCCAGAACAGTTCGCAAATGCAGGGCAGGCAGGCCTGTCCTGCGTTTGTGGGCGACGCCAGGTCTTCAAACTGCGGGATGTGCGCCACAGCAAGGAGCAACCAAGCAAGGACCAGCCAAGTGATGCCAGCCACTTGTTCGCAGACAACGTGCCATCCATCGCCAAGTTTGCTCTTTGGTGCTGGTTCCCTTTCTTTTAGCCAATGGGGAGCACCCACTCAACTTTTGGCCACTGGATGAGTTGTTGACATGACTAGACCCAGGTTTAAACGAATGCTGCACCCTTTGGATTCATGGGAAGTGCCTGGGTGGTGGACATGTCAGTACCGAAATGCGTTCACGACTAGCATCCCAATGGCTCATCTTGTTGCTGGTATTTGGCAGCCTGAACTCTGGCCAAGAGAGTTCGTTCAAAGCCACTTCAGCCTTGCCACCAATTGGTTCAATGAGAGTTGACGTTTGTGACACAAGCTCGGCCACGAAGAATCTTAGAGGGTTCTTCGTTGGTGTCAAAATCCGCCTTCTTCCTCTGGCCTTTGCAGGCGACCCAGGCCCGACACCCACGCCATCCAAGCGAGAGTACGGCTCCCGTCGCTGCTTGGCGAGCAAAGAGGCGCGCAGCGCGGTAGGTTTCTTTGCGCAGGCCGGTGGACTTGGGTATGCCTCATGAAAAGGCCTAGGGGTTTGCCCGCAGATTTTGGCCATTTTGGGCTCCATTCTCTGAGCCACAGCCCAGACTTTAAGGCGACTCCTCGCCCAGTCGGCAGTCCTTGCCACTGGGTCCGATCTACGATGGATACCACAGCGCCTTGGATTCAAGCGGCTCACATGGCTCCAGCCATTCACCGGAGACGGGGTCTGAATATCAGGTTTCTTCCACTCTGATAGGCCACTTGCCACCTGCCAATCAACCTGCATACGTTTACCCTGTGCAACACCAAGCGCGGCGCCTTTTGGTGTTCCCTCACGCCAGGGTTGCTTGCTGCAACATGTTTTGTTTCCTCCAAAGCTCGTTGATCATTGGAGAGCTGAGAGGATAGGCGACTGACTGTGTCACAGGTAGTGGGCAGTTGATGTGGCGGAATATTTTCCGGGCCGAAAGACCACCCCAGTTTTCTCACAAACTGGAGAACTCAAATCAAATTTCCCTTGTTCATTTGGGGAAAGGAGTCGTAGAGTCCGTGGCTCACATGTAGAGAGCGTTGCAAGCTCGCAGGAGAGCCTTCACCGACTCGGCGAGGAGAGTCCAGTATGGATGGTCGTGACGGTTGGCGCGGAGACTCCAGCAGGGAGCGGCGAGGAGAGTCCAGCTGGCGAGAGTCCAGCAGGGACTGGCGAGGGGAGTCCAGCTGGCGTGAGTCCAGCAGGGACTGGCGAGGAGAGTCCGGCAAGGACGGCCGTGATTTCTTGCGAGGCGACAACAGCATGGACCCAGCCCGTGATTTTCGCAGCTCCTTGGCACGGCTTGGCCTAGGGGGGGGTAAACTGGAACTAGCCAAACTTGAGGCTATCATTGCAAGCCTTTCACGCAACAGTGAGGCAGGCAGGCAGGTAGCGAAGGCACAAAACATAACACGCATAGATGCATCTCTCTCCATGTCTATATTTGATTATTGTTTGATTATGCATATATACACATATTGTCGACAAGATGCATAGATAAATAGTAGATGAAAGGTCTATGTATATAAACATATATATATATATGTATAAATATATATATATATATATACATACATACATACATATATATATATATATGGTACCCCCCCCCGCGAAAAAAAGGGGAGATAGTAAAGGAAGACCAACAACTAGCTGTTTCATCAGGATGACAAAGCACACTGGGAAGTTCTGCATAAATAGTTGCAAAACCCAGGATAAAGCTACATTTGTTCATTTCTGCAGTGAACATAAAACTTCAAAAAAACATGCATGTTGCCTGCACCAAATGCGTGTTTTGGTAGACACTGGGCCAACAACCCTGGACAATTGCGGACTGTCTATTTTGGTAGTAAAGGTGAACAAATACAAAGTAACACAGCATAGCCGCAGTAAAAGAAAACAGCATACAATGAAGAAAGAAAAGTAAAAGTAAACTGTATTTACCCATGAAAAGCAAAAAACATGCCAAATGTAACAGGGTGTGTTTGCCTTCATTGGAAAAATGTAAAGCAAGAAAACCCCTTTCTGTGTTGTTTACTTTGCTAGGACAAGAAAAAAAGCTTTGTTTTACCTTTTGCTGAGAAAAAGTAGTCAACCACCCTGCAATAAGTAACACGTTTTTGCCGTCGGCGGTTTTACTTTTTTTTCTTTTACTTTGCACGGGTCTAGAGTTCTTTCTGTTTGACTCTTACTGGGAAAAAGTACAAAGTATCATAAAATCACCCGGTAAAAGTAAACAGGTAAACAAGTCAAAAGTAAAAGGTACAAAGGTAAAGACACATTTCTGGACCCATGAAAAAGAAGAAG